CACTACTACTACTACTACTACTACTACTACTACTACTACTACTACTACTACTACTACTACTACTACTACTACTACTACTACTACTACTACTACTACTACTACTACTACTACTACTACTACTACTACTACTACTACTACTACTACTACTACTACTACTACTACTACTACTACTACTACTACTACTACTACTACTACTACTACTACTACTACTACTACTACTACTACTACTACTACTACTACTACTACTACTACTACTACTACTTTTTCTTGGCTATATAAGTTATAATATAAAATCAGTCGTCAATGATGACCTGAATTGACTTTGATAACAAAAAAGGTGAGAGATATTTTTTTTCTGCTTCAAATACCACACAAATATCATTAAATCTTTACAATATGTTTTAAATTTAATTTTTATAAATTATCGTAATTGTATTAATTCATATTTCTTCTTATCATTCTACATCTGAGAGTTTGAATTGATGTGTTAAATTAAAATCATTCAAATGTTTTATCAAATATTTAGCAATGAGTGAATAAGAAAAGGAATAAAGCCATCACTGATATCTAATTGATATCCACAATCACTTCTAAAATATCTAATGTTATCATCTTCCTACCTTGTAAAAGTGTATCTGTTGAAGCAGCTTTATTTTGTTATTTCTCACCCATTTTTCCCTTCTTCTTTTTCCAAAATTTTTTATTTTACTATTTTATTAATTTTATAATTTCAAGTCAAAAATTAATTCCTTTATGAATTTCAGATTTTACTCTAAAAAGAATAAGTTATCAATTGCTATTTCACTCCGCTATCTTTTTATCATTTTTAATTCATCCTGTTAAGTAATCAATCTATTTCAGACTATAAATTATTTCTGATAATCCATTTTACATCTTTCATCAAATCATTGAGTAAAAAAATTAAAGAATGGAGACAATTAACTCATTAATTTTACTATAATAATCAAATAAAATTTATAAAGATAGGATCTATGATGCAATTCAAATCAATCGATTATCTGTTAGTAACAAATAATCATATTTAATTAAATTTTAATAAACATAAGAGTTCTTTTTCAATGTACTGTGGCATAACTCAAACTCAAAGTCAAAGTCTTCGATATCCTTTGTTTATCTCTATTAAACTTTTCTCTCATCTCAAATATGGTTCATGGCTCATAGATCACCTTAAATATGGTTCAAATATGGCTCATGGCTCATAGATCACCTTAAATATGGTTCAAATATGGCTCATGGTTCATTTTATTTCCTGATCTTAGTTCTCTTTTTCAGTCTTATCTGTCAATTTTTAAATTGTTAGCTAATTTTGGATTTAAAAATCGTAAAATTTTTTATATCATATACTCATTACGGACAAATAATTGGTCCTTTAGACTCCCATTTAAACCATTCATTTCTGTCCTATTATCCAGAATTTTTCTGGTGATGAAACGACCGTTAAGTCTGAGGTTCTCAATCTTTCTTTAGATGAGACAGTCTGAGAACTATTTCTATATCTAGAAGTGGAATGGAAGAGTTACTTGTTTATCCCGGTAAATTTGTGGATAGAAAAGAAATCATTTTTGGAATAATAAAAGTAAAGTTGTCATCATACTGTCAAATTTTATGGGCTTCTTTAAATAAAATTATAAATCTTTCAAAAGATTGCTTGCTTATTTAATTCAATAAATAGCCCAAAAATTGGAATATTGCAGTTATGAGTTTTAAAAAATCACAACATGGAAAATTCATTTTATTTTTTGAACTCTAAGTTAAATTGCAAAATGTTAAACTTTAGATACATTGATAAGGATAAAATTGATTATATCTTATCATCTAGGAAATGGAAGAGTTTTAAGTAAGACTTTTGGGAAAATTCGTAGACTAACATTTAGTATCTTCGAGATATTTCAGAACGGAGAATAATTCATTTCATCTAAATTAAAATATAATTATTTACCTGTGCATACCTCTCAAACTTTTTATCAAGAAAAAGTGTATATGAAGTAAAAATCTAGAGATTAAAATAAAAGATAAAATATAGTGATAAGATTTATTTTACTTTTCCAAATAGTATAAATTGCTAACATATAAGTATTACTACTGATGATGTTATTAATGCATGGTTTTTCAAATTAAAATGGCCAAATCTCAAATAATACGGCCAAGTTTCAAGTTGCACGGCTAAATTTCAAGTTGTTTGGCCAAGTTTCAAACAATTAAACAATGAATATAGCAAGAGGAAAGTCAAAATAAAGCATTAATAATTTTCTGAGTTTACATAAAAGGACATATATCTTTTTAAAGATATATTCAAGCTATGTTACTTTTTGTAATAAAGATTTGAACTTATTAATTTAAATTTAGAATGAATTTTTGCAAAAATATAAATAAGTAAAAATATAAATGAGAAACTTTTATCACATTTATTCTATCTTTTATTCCAAAAAATTGACGAAGTTATTTAGGAACATAACAAAAATTTATTCGAAGATTTGAAATTATTAATAGTAAATTAAATAATCATTTGAATTTTCCAATGATATGTTTAAGATAATTCATTAGAAAAAATAAAAAATATGTTAACATTTATAGAAGTTGTGAAGTTTGGGATATTTGCATAAGTGAAAAAGTTCAAGTAGGATATTATATTGTGGATTGGATCAATTTATTGTCAACAAAATTGATACTATTAATGTTATTAATGCGATTATAAACTATTAACCAGTACCTAAAAGAGGGGACATTTAATGAAAGGTGTTTAGAACAAAGCTTAGCCGCATACTTTGTGACATTTTTCTTTTTTTTTTTTTTTACCATTTCTTTTCTTATTTACGTCGGTAATAGTTTTTTTTTGTATTACAAAAAAAAAACAAAAAAAAAAGAAAAGAAAAACAGGTGTGCTTCATACTTTTGTTTGATTTATATAAAATAAATCATTCCATTGATTTTAGAGATATAAAGTAAAAGGATTGTTATTGGATAAGAGATAAAAATGAAGGGATTGAATATTTATTAATTCTAATTAATAAAATTAATAAACAATAATTTGACTAATTTAGCAATTAAACTTATCAAATTCATTATCATAATCAAAAAAAAAGAAAATGGTAAAAGGATTATTTCAAGAATTTTTTTTATCAGATTAAAAATTAACAAATTTTCATCAATATATTTTTTTTTTTTTTGAGATTACTGTATATTTGGAAAAATTTTTTGGGTGAAAAAGACATAAAGAACTTTGTAACGAATGATTAAATGAATGAAATAAACAATGACAATTGAGATATTACAGTAAAAAACAAAAAAGACAAAAAAAAAAAAGAAAAAGAATAGAAAATAAAATTGTCAGAAAGAATAGTTTGAAATGAAATTGAATTAAAATGGGAGAATTTTATCTGCAATGAAAATAATTTAATTATCAAATTAATAAAAAAATTTCAACAAAATACAAAATTTATTTTTACAATATTTTCAAAGTTTTCCATTCAGAAAAATTTTGTAAAATATTTCAAAGAATAAAATATTATTTACTGATAAGTGTAGGATGAATTTTGTCCGTTAGTGATTACCAAATTTTAAATTTTACGAAATTGATATGATGACCTTTCAATGATTTTACAATACATAAATGATTTAATTTATCATAAAGACGAATACGAGAGCAGAAATTGTTAGTGGGAGGAGGCTGATAAGAATGCGGTAACAGCAACGGAAAATCAGATGATGAGATGATGATCATATAAGGATACTGTAGGTTCAGGTCATTGAAGAATGGATTGGAAAATAGCGTATGTGATGTTGATGATATTCATGATGTTGATGTTGATGATGATAATAATAATGATAATAATAATAATAATAATAGCAGTGGACAAGTTCGCCGCGGGTGATAGATAGCTTGTTAGATGAATAACGCATATTTTGCCAACCTGAAGGGTTAAGTGATTTATTTGTCAATGATTGCGTACAAATTACAGGGGACAATGAGTTTCAAAGAGTTTTATGAATAATTATTAAAGTGATGAATTGTCCAGGTTAAGGTATGATAAGGAAAATATTTACTTATGTCATTTTAATAGAATGATATGATAACTAACAATGATAACACAAATCATTAATTAATACTCTCATATAAGTAATTATTCATATTTCCATACAAATAAATTACTCATAACAAAATCAAAATTACTTTTAACAAAATCTTATAAATGTAAAATTTTTCTTACTTACAAAGGAATAATTAAAAGTGAAATAATTAATTGACGTCACATTGTTAATTAAGATTATAATACTGTGTTTTTTTTTTTTGAATTGTTAAATATGATAGATTATATGATCCAATGTTAACATATACTGATAGCATTGATAAGATTGCTGCAAATTAAAAAAGTAAACAATTTTTTAATAATAAAGTATTTAATATTAAAAAATTCATGAAAATTATTATCATAATCCGATTATTTGTATTTCTTGTCTTATCACTAATATAACTGTCACTGTTATCATTATTCCAAATGTTTCATCACGTTTATTACTATCATTATTATCATTATTACTATCATTATTATTATTGTCATTATTATTATTAATATTATTTTATTATTATTGTTATTATTATTATTATTATTATTATTATTATTATTATTATTATTATTATTATTATTATTATTATTATTATCATTATTATTATTATTATTATTATTATTATTA